TTTCGAAAAAAACTGAATGATATCCTGGGGCATTTTTGCCATAGATGAGATTACAAATAGACCACGAAGGAGGTTAAACGTTGGCAAAAACAAAACTGGTGAGTGACGAAAAAAAGGGTTATATCACCAAAGGCATTTTTGTGACAATCACAAAACCACATTTCAAAAACATATTCCATCTACAGCCATAAATACTTATGCATATACAAATGCAAATGGTTGTATTGGGCCGAAGGGGTAGTGATATTAGGGTGGAGTGGATAATGGGAGATTTTCACTGAGAAAATGAGAAAAAATTCTCTCTATCTCTATCGATAGGAGAAAGAAGTAGAAGGGGAGGGGTGGGGTGGAGGGGACGATGTGGCACCTTCACTTAGAAAATCAGAAAAAATTCTCTCAACTATCGTTAGGAGAGGATAATGGAAGATTTTCACGAGCAAATGAGGAAAAATATTCTCTCGACTATTGATAGAAGAAAGAAGTAGGAGAAAAGGGGTGGAGAGGAGAGGATGATGGGGAACTTTCACTTAGAAAATCAGAAAAAATTCTCTCAACTATCGATAGAAGGAAGAAGTAAGTGGTAGGAGCGGAAGGGGGGAGTAGGAAGATGATTTTATTTTACAGGGGACAAGGGATCCATCATAAATGAGGAGGAGTTAGTCGAGCTATTATAGACCAAAATGGAGTCTTATTGAGACCATTAGAGAAGAGTGAACCAACCAGTCTGAAGGTGAATCAGCCAGTCTATCAGAGACGTGTCGGGGGAACCAGGAAGGCCAGGAGATCTTCCATAGACGTGCTGGAGAGAACTGCGTAACCTTGAAATTTCTACTGAAGATGTTTCTCTAGAATAATTTTCCATAGCCATTATTTGATCAAAGGTAACCTTAGCCGTATAACTAATATTAATTATGGGAATCCCATATGGCGTATGATGAACCCAGGGAGGGCCAGATAATCTATGATAGACGAGCTGCAGGGAACTGTGCAATATTGGAATTTTTAATAAAAATGTTCTTCCAAAAGTATTTCCCAAAATCCATTATTTTTTCAAAGGGTACCTAGACGTATAATTAATATTAATTATGGGAATTCGATATGGCGTATGATGAACCCAGGAATATTTCAATGATTATACTTAGCAATTTAATGACCTGGTGGCGTATGATGAATTCAGCAATATTTCAACTAACATACGTAGAAGTGTACGTATTTCTAGCAGAGCTTTGGGGAATATTCGAATATTGCGGGATATTTTCTCAACAAACTTTTATTTATAATTATCATTAAAATTATATTTTTTTTGGACCCAAGATTTTTTTTTTTTTTTTTTTTTTTGAAGCCTAATAATACCTGAAATTTAAATTTAGAAATCATGTTTTGTATACTTCAAATATTCTTGAAGAAATTCCCTTTTGGAACCTCTTAAGCGTGTAATTAATGTTAATTATTGGAATACTCTGTGGCGTATGATAGACTCAGAAATAATCCAACAGTTATACGTCTCAGTGTGCCACACGATAGACGAGCTGTGGGGATTATTCGTTCACTGAATTGAGCATTTTTTGTAGGATCCGATGTATTTATTTTTATTTATTTATTTATTTATTTTTAATTTATTTAAAAAAAAAATTATTTAAAAATTGTTTTGTCAACCCTTGAAGATTCAATTAAACATTTTTTGTAGGATCCGATGCATTTATTTTTATTTATTTATTTGTTTTTTTCCTTAACTCCCTTAACTTCTTGAAATAATTACTTTGAGAAATTATGGAAACGTCTTTGAATATTATATCATAGACAAGCTGTCTATTGATTGTTTATCTTTTGAAATCCGTATTTTGTATTTTTAAACTTATTTGGAAGCCCAAAATTCTTAAAAAATAAATCATAAAAATCTTTTTTTTAACTTTGAATAAATAACTTTAGGAAACTATGAAAAATCCTTGACTTATGAACATAAATTTATTGAATATTTTCTTGAATGCGAAATCATTATTTTTAATCGTATTTAGAAGCTCAAAAATTCTTAAAAAAATCTTAGAAATTAATTTTATTAAACTCAAAATATAATTAAAGAAATCCCAGATTTGAAATCTCTAAGATACTTAAATTAAAAAAAAAAATAGGAAAACGTGGAAAATCCAAGATTCTATTGAAGGATATCTTAGAAGTATAATTCAGAAGAAAATTACTTTTTAGATCCTTCGAAAGATGTCCGAAAAGAAAAGAGGAAAACATGTTTTTGTGTTCCCCCGATTTGTGGCCATAGAAAATCAACTGGGTAAGCCCTTGATTAAAAAATTAAAAATTAAAAAATTTCCACAAAAATAACTCTCTTAGGTTAAATGCCGGCCAAGAACTCATATAGAAAACCATATTTTAGCACCTGTTAGAGAATTCAAAAATCCAAAAAAAAACTCCTTTTACAAAGCTCTATAGATGTCCAAAACATTCTAAAGCCGTCCACTTTTGGGCCTTATGGAAGCAGTTGCAAATTTATAAAGAATCCCATCTTTTTGAGACTTTAAGGCCCTATAATTCTCGAAGATTTTCTTGATAGGGTCAAAATAATGTTTATCTTATCTTAGTTCAAGGACCTCCTAAAAATTAATAAAATTAAAAAAAAAAATATTTTTTGTGAACTTCGCGTTTCAGATCCTTTAAAGGTGCCAAAAGTTTGAGAATGACCTAAGGTTTCTCAAACCATGTTTTGGGACCACAAAATATGGTGAAAATTCTGAGAGTAAAACCAAATTTTTGATTAAAAAAAAAAAATTCTTTAAAAAAACTAGGTTTAGAGATCTCCAACTGCTTAATAAAACATATTAAAGAAATCCAAGTTTAAGGCACTTCATGATTTAAACTCCAAAAATTCAGTCAGAAAACTATGTTTTTGAGACTTTTAAAAGGTTCAATGAGCACATTTTGAGACCTACTAGGGATACCCTGAAATTCCTGAAGACTCCAACGCTATGGGACCTCTTAAAGATGCCAAAAAAAAATCGTTTCGAAAGTTTCAAAGCTACCTGCAAATGTTTTAAAATGCCTCAATTTTAAAGGTTATGAGCCGTACAGGTATTCTTAAAGACAACCAAATTTTTGGATCTTGAATTTTAAGAATTTCAAAAAACCCGTTTAGAATCTTCTACAAATTTCCAAAAACTTCCAAACTTCCTCTTAGAGGTGTCTAAAAATTATAAGGAAACACTGTTTGAAGACCCCTCGGTAACTCAGATATTCTTAAAAAAAACGCGTTGCAAAACCAATTTCCCTTCGGACGCCCTCGTTTTGGAGCCTTTTTGCATCTAGCAAACATTTTTTTAACCTCCTCCGATTCGGAAGCTTCTAGAGATGTCCAAAAAGTTATAATTCTAAATCCACGGTTTGGAAGCAGATATCCATGCCAATAGCCCTATTAGACAAACCCTAAAATATTGTAAAGAGGTTCTTGATTCAGGAGCAACAATAAAGTCTTAAAGGCAGTTCTATTGAAGGGCCTTTTAGTGAATCTTAAAATTCTGAAAGCAAATCACTCGTTGAAATCTTGGAAGATCCTCATAAATTCGTATGTTTTAGAACTTATAGGAAAAAAAAAACTTCGAATTAATTTTTAATAAAGATGTCCAAAAACTTATAAGGAATCCAGGTTTTTGGACTATCAGGAAGGAGATGGCTAAAAATTATCGAAAAAAACAACGTCTTTAATACCCTAATTTCTGAGAAAAATATTTTTAAAAAAAATCCACGTTAAGTAATTGCCTTTGGAAAAAATCATGTAAAAAATTAATTGTCTTTGAAAAAAAAATATATTTTTAAAAAACCCACTTTTTTAAGGCTAGTAGGCAATAGCCTTAAAAACCGGCAACTAATGAATTCTTAAAAAAATGTAAAAAAAATTATGACAAATGAAAAAAAATTCACTATTGACATATCCTTAAAAAATATTTTTGAAAAATCGACGTTGACTACAAGACGAGTGGTCCTTGAAAAAAAATTTCTAAAAAATCAAACAAAAAAAAAATTTTTTTGAAAAATATTTTTCTAAAAAATACGACTTACCAGTGATTTTAAAGATTTTTTGGTTTTAAATTCACGTTTCCAAATGAGTTTGAAAACATTTTGAATACTATTCGACCCACCCCACTAATCCTACTGATATTATCTCTGCTCATTTGCCATGATATGTGTGTGTGTACAACCCCCATTTAACGGATACAAGCCAAGTTGTTTTTTCGTCTTCCTTCTCCGTTACTATCTAGACGGAAAATGTGTTTTCCTACGCAACGAGCAGCCAAAGGCAGCGAAATCCAAAAAGAGAAAGGGGAGCTAGAGAAGAGAGGAGGCCATTGAATTGTTTACCATGATGCGAAGGGTTAATGGCCGTTGAAAATGATGGAAATTGTCATAACACAATTCAAGTGATAAGCCTATCTTGCTATGCGTTTTTCTTTTTTTTTTTGTGGATTCATGAGAAAAATTCCGTCTCCCCCTTCAACTTCATTTTGGGACACTTTTGGAATTTTTTTTGGCAAAACGTTGGACAAATTGCTCCAGACAATTGGTGTTATTGTGCGAACGTGAATGGCAACACTGATGTTGGGCGAAATTATGAATGCTGGCTGCATGGAAGGCACGTCGCATAGCTTTGTATCGCCACCATTCGTTTTTGAAAGAAGAGACATATCATGTCTGACTGGGAATGCGAATCCGTTTGCCGTCCCACGCAAAACATTTTCGAGCAAATCTTATCTTGGAAGTCATTATTTTGTTATTACACCCAACAATTCGGGGAGATTATGTTTCATTACTTTGGATGATGTGACATTTTCTTTTGTTAGAACAATATTCTAAGGATGAAATCCACGATTTGAAAAGTATTTCAGACTTAACTGGAAATTTAAAATTTAGAAAAAAATTTTTGAAATATTTTAAGGATCCACGTTAATCCACGATTTGAGGAAATTTAAAATTTAGAAAAAAAAAAGTTTGAGACTTACCCATACACACTCCCAGCGCATTGGCGGTTGGCAATTTTGCCACACATTTTAACGGTGGTTCACAGCGTCCTGAAAAATCTCCGGGGCCGCCACATACCTCACCCACGGTCTTGGCGCAGATGGGACAACAGCTGTTGCAAAAAATTTTTCAGAAGGGGAAAATAGGTTAATAAAAGTTATTAACAATAGTTATAAAAATCTATCCAAAAATTGATATTTTCTATTTTTTTTCTATATAAAATTCAACAACAAATGATGACATTTTTTCCAATGTTTCTTTTTTATTTTTTAAAATAATTTTTGAGAAAAAATTAAATCTGGAATATTTTTTTTTATTTCTGGGAATTCTTTAGAATTTTAATGCCGGAACTCCTACTTCCTGATATATGTATCTTTTTATGCATTTTTAGGAGACCCCTTGGAGTTCCCAAACGTTAATTTTTTAAGAATCTGTATTCACCAGTTGGACTTCGGTTTCTTTCAGAATTTTCGGCCATTTCTGGCTGCTACCAAAATATGAGAACTTCAATAACTCTTTTAGATCCCAAAATATTATTTTCAAGGAAAATTCTTTGCCGGCTTGTGAACTTGGAGGAATCCCTAAGAATTTGTAGGAATTTGTTTTTGGGAATCTTTAAGAATTTTTAGGCAGGAACTCCTACTTCCTGAGCGATGCATCCTTGTATAAATTTTTGAGAGACCCCTTTGAGTTCCCGAAACGTTAAATTTTTAAGAATTTGTATTCATCAGTTGGACTTCGTTTTCTTTCAGAATTTTCAACCATCTCTGGGTGCTCCCAAAATACGAGTTCTACGAAATCTCGACCTTCATTCACTCTTTCAGATACCAAAATATGATTTTCTAGGAAAATTATTGGCCGTCTTATGAATTTGGAGGGTAATTTTATGAATTTTTTTCCGATATGTTTTTTGTATCTCTTGGAGGTCCCAAGAATTTGTAGTCCTACCAAATTGGTGCAAAATTGTGATTATATGGGGATATTGATGCCACAAATCGGGGGAATTCCTAGGCTCGAGTTTTGTACTAGCGGAACTGGAACTAGCCAATATTTTTGATGTGCATCTTTTAAAGGCCCCCAGATTTTCTAGCCTTACCAATTGGCCCAAAAGTGAGAATTCCTTTGGACATTAATGCCACAAATCGGGGGGATTTCCTAGGTCCACGTTTTCGTACCCTCCCCGGAACTAGTCAACATTTTCAAAATGGGATAAAAAATTCTTTTATTTCCATGTTTTCGTACCTATCCAGGAATTGGGTCCACGTTTTTTTATCTCAATCGGAAAGGGTCATAGTTTCTAGAAAGGGTACAAAGGAACTAGCCAAAGTTTTCAAAACGGGTCTCCTTAATTCACGTTTTAGTACCTGAATCCACGTTACCTTCGGCACCTTTTCCAGGATTAGTAGACATTTTAATTACAAAATAGATCCTTTATGGGTATCCTTTTCTTATCGCCCTCGGAACGGGCCATAAACTGGCCATAAATTCCAGAAAGTGTTCATAGGTCTCCTAAGTCGAATACGTACCTCCCATGGTTTTAGTTAGAATTTAAGGGTCAACGTTTTCTTACCCCACCCCGAACTTGTCATTATTACCAGAAAGGGGTTAAGTTAAAATTTTCGTACCTCCCATGGTTTAAGTAAACATTTCCAGAATGGGTTCCACGTTTTCAAACCTATTCCGAAATCGGGGCCTTCGTGGGTCCACATTTTCTTATATTACAGAGAATGGGTCATAATTTCCAGAAGTCCGCGTTTTCGTATCTATTTCGGATTTGGTCGATATGTCCGCGTTTCCTTTCTTTGTGGCCTCTATCCCTAACTGGTCATAATTTCCAGAAAGCGTTCATAGGTCTCCTAGGTCAACCTTTTCGTACCTCCACCGATACTAGCCAGTATTTTTAAAACAGATTCTCGTTAAATCTCGTTTTCGCACCGACCCATTATTTTCAAAACGGCTCCATTGGGTTCTTTTCTTATATCACTTGGAATTGGCCATAATTTGCAGAAAGGATTCAAATCAAAATTTTCGTACCTCCCACGATTTTAATGAAAATTTCTAAAACTGATCTATAATTGTCTTAGTCCGCATTTACGTTCCTCTTCAGGAATTGGTCAATTCAAATCATTTTTACCTGCTTTGGAACAAGCCAAATTTTAAAACGGTTCCACTGGTCTCCTAAGTCTTTGTTTTGGTGCCTTTCCCGGAATTGAACGAATTTTTCAAAACCAACGGGTTTATTTTTAGAAAGGGTCCTTAGGTCTCCTAGGTCAAATTTCTTCCTATATCTCACCGTTCGAGTGAAAATTCCATAATAGGTTCATAGGTTTCCCAGGTCCACATATCCGTACCTCCCCTGGAATTAGCCACAGCCGGAATTGGTTTATGGGAGGGTCCAAAAAATAGACTGCTTCAGAATTGGTCGAAATTTCTGGAATTGGTCGAAATTTTTACGCTTTATTTCCTTATCCGGAACAGCTCATTATTGCTAGGTCAAGTCTAAGTTTTGATGTCTTTCCCGGAATTGGACAAAATTTCCAAGACCAAAGGCTTCTTTACGGGTCAACTCTTTTTTGTCCCATCCCGAACTGGTCATTATTTCCAAAAAGGGTCCTTAGATCTACTCAGTCAATTTTTCCTACATCTCACTGTTCGAGTGAAAATTCAGAGCGGGTCCATAGGTCTCTTATGTATTCTACTTCAAAATGTTCGTACCTCTAACAAATCTAATGCAAAATTCAAAAATGGATTCATAGATTTCCCAGGTCCACATTTTCGTACCTCCCCTGGAATTAGCCAACATTTCCAAAGCGGGTTTCTATCGTGTACTTATTCCAGAATTGGTGGAAATTTCCAAAAGAAGGCTATTTTATGGGCCCACGTATTCTTTCCTTACCCAAAACAGGTCATAGTTCCCAGAAAGGGTCCAGTAAAGTCTCCTAAGTCAACGTTTTCGTACAAATCAAGTGAAAATTATCATAATAGGTTTATAGGTTTCCTATGTCCACGTTTTCGTACCTCCCCCGGAAATACCAAAATTTTCCAAAACGGGTTCATAAGTCTCCAAAGTACACATTTTCGTACCTATTCCGGAATTGTTTGAAATTTCCAAAACGACGGGGTCTTTTATGGGTCCATGGTTTTCAATCTCATTAGGAATGGACCATAGTTTCTGTTTTTGAGCCTATTCAGGAATTGATCGAAATTTCCACGTTTCTTTTTCCTCAACCGGAACTGGTCATTATTTCCATAAAGGGACATAGGTCTCCTAGGTCAACATTTTTGTAACTTCCACGGAATTAGCCAACATTTCCAAAACGGGTCCATAGGTCCCCTAAGTTCACGTTTTGGTGCCTTTCCCGAAATTGGACGAAATTTCCAAAACCAAAGGGCCCTTAGATCTACTAAGTCTAAGTCTAAGGTTTCCTAGCTCCACATATCCGTACCTCCTCTGGAATTAGCCAATATTTACAAAGCGGGTCTATATCGTGTACCGATCCCGGAATTCATCGAAATTTCCAAAAGGAGGGTCTTTTATGGGCCCACGTATTCTTACCTTACCCAGAACATGTCATAGTTTCCAGAAAGGGTCCAGGAAAGTCTCGTAAGTCAATGTATTTGTACAGATCAAGTGACAAACGACAGGGTCCTTTATGGGTCAACGTTTTCTTCTCTCACTCGAAATGGGCCATAGTTTCCAGAAATGCTTCGTTGGTCACCTAAATTAAAAATTTTCATATTTCCTGGATCAAAGTTTTCGCACCTCACACGGGTCGATTGCAACTAGTCAAAATTTCCAAAATGGGTCCATAAGTATCCTAAGACCACGTTTTCGTAATTGGTCGAAATTTTCGAAACCAAAACAAGCTATAACTCTCGAAGGGTCCAAAAAATCTATTGAATAATTTTAGAGCCATTTTCTAAAGGACTCAAGTATTTGGCAACTTTTGAATATTCTTGGTAGATCCTTATATGAGGATTTCTCTACAAATATGGTATTCTGTAGAATCTTTTGATATCTCTTGGAGGTCCCAAATTTTTGACATGCCCAAAATAATATTCTTGGGAGATCCCTATATGAGAATATCGCTAAAAATTTGGTTTTCCTTAGAATTTTTTGATATCCTTTGGAAGTCCTAAATTTTTGACATGCCTTAAATAATGGAGTTTTTCATGTCTCGTAGGTCCTATTACCGGGGATTATTGTTGATTTTTTCTATAGAAAATTTTATTTTTTGTTGTAATACTCACTTGCATGGATCCAAAACAATCAACCCCTTGCCGGGGCAATCCAGTGAACTGATGACGTCACACTCCTTGGGATTGCAATAACATTTCAAACCGTTGACCACCCGGGAACCGGCTGCCACCACCACCAGCAGATAGCAGCATAAATATATCAGGTAGGTGCGGAGGTTTAGAAAACAACATTCTGTTTTTGAGCTCATTTTGAGGGGGGAGGGGGTGGTTTTTGAGCAATGTAGGGAAGGGGGAAGGGCTCTCTTTTAGTTTATATATATTTTGCAGGTCTTCTGCAATTATTGAGCTTTATGACACCATGGAGTGGAGCTACTCCAAATGAAATGGAAGTTTAAATAAATACACCAGATTTCTTCCCCTACCAGAGAGGGGGTTGGGAATTTTTTTTGGAAATTCAGGACAAACCTGAACCGAAAACAAAACGAAAACGACTGTTTGCAATTGTCTGTTGTTATAAAGTTTTATCTTAAGCAAAATTTATGTCTCTGTGGCAATTGAAGCAACTGTGGCTGCAGGAGCAACTCTTTGCAAATGGAATGCATTTTCAACTGGGTTTGTGTCCAGGCTGGCGGAGTGGTGGTGGGGGGAGCCTACACAAGTCGCACGCTTTGGGTTATTGCTGGCATTCCAAATGTACGATTTTTTTCCCCAAAAATTCCTTTGTCCTTTGTTGCCTGAAAAAGATATCAAAAAGAGAGAAGAGAGAGAGAGAGAGAGAGAACAAAAGAGAAAAAAAATAGTTAGTAAAAACTTATTGTTATTGTTTTTGTTTTAAGCTGCAAACAGATTTTTATGGCAAAACGTATTTCTTTCTGTTTTTTAAAAGGTGGGGGGGGGGGGAAGAGGTGAGCTCGAGTATGCAATAAGAGCACACCTAACTTCCTCGGAACATTTCAAAAGAAGTCATCCCAGTTGGGGGGATGTGTTTTCTTTTTCTCAATTTTTTCCTCTCTCAATTCGGTTTTTTTTCTTCTGCTTCGAATTTCCTTTCTTCGCGGATTCCAGCAGAGTTTGAGACTTTTATGATATGGTTAGACTTACTGCATTGCAGTGAGATTTTCCATTCAACTTTGAATAATAAATAAGTTTAAGAATTAAGTATGAAATGAAACGAATGGGTGTTGTGCTTTTCTTTCTTGCTTTTTCTTGGAGAATCACATATCACAACTATTATGGAAATTTAATAGCTTGAACGAATCGGCTAACAGGTACCGAGATTTATGGGGAAAGTTTTTTTAAAGGGAAAATATAAAAAGGAAAAAATCAATAAAAAGGATGACCTTTCTAAGACTGAAACTGATGTCGAAAAAATTTGTAAAATTAAAAAAAGGGTGCTCTCTTTTTATTTTGATCATCACATATTAGACAAATTATGGACATTTAATATTTTGAACGAGGCGGCGAACAGGAACTGAATTTCATGGGGAAAGTTTTTTTTAAAAAAAAAAAAAAAAAAAAAAAAAAAAAAAACAAAACAAAAAAAAAAATAAAATAATAAATAAAAATAAATAAATAGCAAAAAGAATGGAGTTTTTTACCCTAAAAGGGATGTCGAAATTTCAACAAAAAAAAAAAAAAATAATAATAATTAATTAATAAATAAAATAAATTAGAATCTAAAAGTTGGACTCGGAAAATACAACAACAACTTTTTATTTTTTTATTTGCAGGAAACTTGATAATTTTCAAAAAAAAAAAAAATAAATAAAATACTTGGCATGAACGAGGTTCAGGAACTGAGTTTTATGGGGAAAGTTTTTTTTTACAAAAAAAAAAAAAAAAAAAAAAAAAAATTAAAAATAAAAATAAATAAATAACAAAAAATTTTACTCTAAAAAGGATGTCGAAATTTCAAAAAAAAAAAAAAAAAAACAAAAAATAGACTCGGAAAATACAACAGCAACAAGTAAAAAAGAAACTAACCTCGACCGAGCCGAACGTTTTATACCCTCCACCATTTGTAAGAAACTTGAAAATTTTCAAAAAAAAAAAAATAAATAAATAAAAAAGTCAGTCGAAAATGCCGTTATATAGGGATTATACGAAGCTGTGGTCCTGCATAAGTAATTTTTGTCATGGGCTGTAGTAACTTCACAACCTGTCATAGGTTGTAGCATCCATTTCGAATTTTAAATACCACATTTGAAACAATTCCGGTGAATAATGTCGGTAAAGTCATCAAAATACCGAATATCGGGCGGTACCGTTATATGGGGGCTATACGAAGACTTGGACCTGTTTGAGCAATTTGCTGTCACAGGCTGTAGTACCTATTAAGAGCTTCAAATACGAAATTTGAAATATTTCCGATTAGAATTGTGGCTAAAATCATCGAAATACCGAATATCGGGAGGTACCGTTGTGTGGGGGCTATACGAAGACTTCAACCTGCACAGACATTTTTCTATCATAGGCTGTAGTACCCATTATGAACTTTAAATACCAAATTTGAAACAATTCCGGTGAATAGTGTCGCTGAAATCATCAAAACACCGAATATCGGGAGGTACCGTTTATGGGGACTAAGCGAAGACGTAGACCTGCGCAGAACATTTTCTGTCTTGGGCTGGAGTACCTCTTTGGAACTTCAAATACGAAATTTGAAACAATTCCGGTGAATAATGTCGCTAAATTCATCAAAATACCGAAGATCGGGAGGTATAGTTATATGGGGGCTATACAAAGACGTGGACCTGCACAGATAATTATCTGTCCTAGGCTGTAGTACCTATTTGGAACTTCAAATACGAAATTTAAAACAATGCCGTTGAATAATGTCGCTAAAATCATCAAAATACCGAATATAGGGAGGTGCCGTTATATGGGCGCTATACGAAGACCTGCACCTGTTTGAGCAATTTGCTGTCACAGGCTGTAGTAGCTATTAAGAGCTTCAAATATGAAATTTGAAACAGTTCCGATTAGAATTTTGGCTAAAATCATCGAAATACCGAATATCGGGAGGTACCGTTGCGTGGGGCCCTGGACCTATTTGAGTAATTTTCTGTCATTAGCTGTAGTACCTATTTGGAACTTCAAATACAAAGTTACAAACAATTCCGGTGAATAATGTACCTAAAATCATCCAAATACCAAATAAAGAGAGATACCGTTATATGGGGCCATATGGAGACCTGGACCTGCATAGACAATTTCCTGTCGTAGGCTATAATACTTGGTAGGATCTTCAAATATGAAATTTGAAACACATCCGGTGAATAATGTTGCTAAAATCGTAAAAATACCGAATATAGGGAGGTACCGAATATCGTAGACCTATATGGACAATTCTCTTTCAGGGGTAAGGAAATCCCACCGAATTCTTTAGGTTGAGTTTTTAATAATTCCATCTTCACAGAAGATCTTGTGTTAGTAAAAATAAAAGCATGTGTGAAATAATGAAGAGAGTCGGATGCTTATTTCGGATTTTATAATCGTTTTGGTTATTTAAAACTTCGATACTTTGTGCGGGAGTTACCAGAAGAAATGGTCCGATCTCTACCAAAATACAAAAAATTGTTTACAAAAATATTGGGATGTGGGAAATATGAAGACAACCGGATGCTTATTTCGGATTATATAATCGTTTAGGTTATTCAAAACTCCGACTTTTGGGGGGACCAGAATAAATGGTCCGACCTCTATCAACTTGATAACAGATCGTGCGTTGATGGATATGTTGAGATGGCAAGTCTGAATGGAATCGGATGTTAATTCCGAGTTTTATGAGCTTCATGGATATTCCAAATTCCGACCCTTTGTGGGGGAGATACCAGAAGGTGTCCACCGATATATTCCAACTTCGCTGCAGATCTTTTGTTTACAAAAATATTGGGAAGTGTGAAATATTAAGGAAACCGGAAGCTTATTTCGGATTATATAATCGTTTTGTAATTCAATACTTAGACCCTTCGTGGGGGAGGTACCAGAAGGAATGGTCCGATCTGTACAATCTTTATAACAGATTTTATGTTGATGGAAACATTGAGATGTACCAAGTGTGAATGGAATCGGATGTTAATTTCGTGTTTTATGAGCTTACTGGACTTATGAAATCTTGACCCTCTGTGGGGGAGGTACTAGAAGAAGTAGGCCGATGTATCCCATTTTCGCAACAGACCTTGGGTTAATAAAAATGTGTAATTTGAAGACAATCGGATTCTTATATCACATACTATAAGGGTTATAATTATTAGAAATGTTGACCCTTTGTGGTGAAGGTATTTTATCGAGTGAACTGATATTCTCCATTTTCGCACCTGACCTAACACTGATGTAAATATTGTGATTGGCAAAGTTAGAGCAAAATCGGATCAATCTTTCAGTGCAGTGCAAAATATATATTTTTTTGATAATTTCGACCTTTTGTGAGGGTTGTACCAGAGGGAGTGGACCGATATTGCCCATCTCCATACGATGTACCAAGTTTGGACGAAATCGGATACTCCATGCGAGAGTTATTGTGCGCACCAGCCAGACACGCGGACGGACATCGCTAGTGTCTTTTCATAATCAGGGCGGAATCCAATCTCCCTCTTCGATTGTCAATGCTGTTCTATTATCGGTTCGACTGGAACAATGTAGAAAGTGAAAGAGAATACAACTGCTTCGCTTGGGTGTAGATTTTATTCTAGTTTTTATTTAAAAATTTGATCCTTAGGAACTACTGAAACTAATCTAACTTAACCTATTCGCAACCACACAATTATTCTTATCTATTCTAATATTGAATGTAGAGCATTGCAGGGCTGCTTATCATTTCATTGAAGTGTTCTTGTACATTTACAGAGCGCATCGAATGTCTGTGCGTGTGGGTCATAACCTTTATTATCTGTTACATTATCGTATGAGCACAGCGCACAAGATCACCGAATTCTTCACATGTGATATTTTATGGCGGCTGGGAAATATGTAATTTTACAATATTTATTGATGATATTGCTAGATTTTCCGGGCGCCTCGACCGCATTCAAAAGTATATACAAAGTATTTTGTACAGCTAGATCAACTTTAAATATCCTGAAACGGATTTAGTCCAAAGAGACCTAGGGTCTAAAATCGTTATTTCGTTGTCGAATAAAATTTAAAATTTTAGATATATATAATAATATATATATTATTATCCGTAGGCGAAAAAATATAATTTAAAATTTCGTGTGAATTCCTAAAACTTCCCCTGGTTGGTCTTGGAAAATGCAAAAAAAAAAATAATTTTTCATCTGGCCCATCACCTCTTCCACGTTGGCATCTGGTTCGTATACATATTGGCTCCAAGCAAGGTATTTTGTACAGCTAGATCAACTCTAAATATCCTTAAACGGATTTAGTCGTTATTTCGTTGCCGAATAAAATTTAAAATATGAATATGAATTAATCAAAAAATCCGCAGGACGAAAAAAAATATAATTTAAAATGTCTTGTGAGTTGGAAAATAAAACAAAAAAAAAAAATAAAATAAAAAATAATTTTTCATCGCCCCATCACCTCTTCCACGTTGGCATTTTGGGCGTATACATATTGACAGTCATCATACGCTCCAAGCAAAGTATTTTGTACAGCTAGATCAACTCTAAATATCCTGAAACGGATTTAGTCCAAAGAGACCTAGGGTCTAAAATCGTTATAAAAATAAAGTTTAAATGAAAATAAAAATAAAAAAAATCTGCAGGACGAA